GAAAAACATCCTGATTGAGGTTGTCATAATTCATGCATGAAAGGGTTAAATGTGATATTGTGTGGTTATATTAAGCTTCCAGGGTTTCCTGCAAAGACACTGCTTACAACTGAAATCAACAGATCTTGAACGTTGTATTTTTTTTATACAATTATTATTTCTTCTTGAAAATTCTCAAGCGCTGCTATTTCTTGACATTTTAATCATGTCAGTATTATACAGTATCCCAGATGTTCAGCACAGGAATGCATCCTGCAGGGTCACACAGATCTTATTGAACATTAAGTAGAAAGTTTAGACGATTTACTGATGAAGTACATTTTGCTCGTGGCACTTTATCTTTGCATTATCATGATCCCACATTGCTTCCATTTCTATTATAAATGACCTCAGTGTGTTTTTATTACAGTCAAGGATTTTTATCAAGTTCTCAATTTCTGATCACATAACTAAGAAAAATGTACTACTCTATTGTTTACAAAAGGCACAATAGTACAGTACCCTGTAAAGGTCTTACTAAGGTTATTAAAACATGTGCAAACACAGAGACAGTTCTAACAAGCTTAAGTCTTAGATAGTCTTCAGGAATCGTTCTCCAGGCTTCTTGAAGGACATTCAAAGCTCTTCTTTGGATGTTTCTGCTTTTTGCTCTGTTCCCTGTCCAAAGGATCCCACACTGCTTCAATCATGTTGAGATCCGGGCTCTGTGGAGGCCGATCCATGAGTGACAGTGCTCCATGGTCTGTTTCTCTGTCCAGTTATGCTTTTACTGTATTGGCAGTGTTATGGATCACTGTCATGTTGAAAAAATGAAGCTGGTGTCATTGCATGGTGGATCAAAATCTGACAGTATTTTTCTGCATTCATAATTGCATCAGTTTTAAGAAGCTCCCCAACACCACTTACTGAGATACAGCCCGAAAGACAAAGGCAGTCTCCACCATGGCTGTAGGCATTCACTGGTGTACATCTTTCCTGATCTCCATACATACCGTAATTGTCGGGCTATAAGCCGCTACTTTTTGCACAAGCTTTGAACCCTGCGGCTTTTAGTCAGGTGCGGCTTTTCTATAGATTGTCCATGATTTTTGTGATATCGTAAGACGATTTGTTTTGTTTGTTCCGCTGTTGTACGGCACTACGTTGCCTGGCGGAAGGATCGGGGTTCAAGAGTGGTATGTTAGTCACATGTCCATCCGCCAGGCAACATAGTGCCGTACAAGTAGCGCGAAAAACAAACTTCAAAGTAGCGCTACGCGTTCAGTGGGAGGCGTGGATGACGAGCGGCGATAAACTTGCGAAAAGCAAGTTATGCTCAACTCCACCGGTGGAATCTGACAGCGTGGAAAAGTGTGAAAACATCCACGATCACCAACGGATTTTGAAGGGCTGGACTGCTGCATGATGGAGAGGAGGACACCGCCACGGCCCTTCAGAGGGTGTTCGACTCTGACACTGACAATGAGGATTTGTTTGGTTTTGAAAGTGACAACGAAGGAGAGAAGCGGAGAGTGGATGACGAAGCCATCCTGAGCCTGTTCGTTTCCGACATTGGAGAAGAGGACTTTGGTGGTTTTAGTGCGCAGGAAGATGAGAAAGATGGTGGTGAATGACTGACTTTTCTTCTTGTTAAAGCCGTGTCACTGCACCTGAGCCTAAAAGGTAGTCCGAATCTATTTTTCTGGTGTGCTGTAGGTTACTGTTATGTACTACATTTGTTACTCATTTATGAAGCACAGCACATGTGCAAATATGTACCCATAACTTGTTTTTCAAAATATTAATAAAAGGGGTGTGTCTCCAAACAGCCATCTCTTTCCTGACAATTCCCTTTGTGCATATTCTCTTACATATGATAAGTCAACATTGAAACACCTGCGGCTATTAGTCAGGTGCGGCTAATGTATGTACAAAACAGGATTTTCCCCTGATTTTAGCTTGTGCGGCTAATATTCAGGTGCGCTTTGTAGTCCGGGAAATGCGGTACTCATAATCATTTTAATCAAAAATTTCCCCATTTGGAGTCATCACTACATTATACCTACTGTCTGATTTTCAGTCCAGTTCTTGTGTAAGTCAGCCTCAGAGTTTCCTCCCTGTTTCCCTTCCTGAAGAAGCGCTCCTTGACAGCCACCCATCCACTGAGACCATTGCTGATGAAGCTTCAGTGAACAGTAGATGGATCAGCTAAAGGGTCAGATGCATCTCTCAGGTCCTGTGTCAGGTTTTTGCTGGATTTCTTCCTGTTTTTTAAGAACATGACATTCGCATGCTGTCTGTCTGCTGTGGATAGCTTTTCAGACCTGCCGCATCTTCTTTTGTCCTCCTCTTGTCCAGTTTCCTCATTTTTTTGACTGCACATCATGTCGAGATGTGCCAGAGCTGAGAGCTCTTTGGGAATCGTGTTGCTTGTGAAAAGATTTTGTTTTATATCTGTTAACTTAACTCTCTGGTTTGTCAAACCATCAATATTTTTTATAGATTCAGCTGAACAAAAGTTGGGTTTTTGCAACAGCCTAAAGATACTATTTAAAATTGGTTCTTTTGATAAGTTTTATATTATGTGCAGAAACAACCGACGCTAGTTTATCCCTAGTTTGTCCCTAGTTTGTGTTTGTGTTTAATATCCTGATTACTACCCAAACACAAAAAGGTCAGAGAAGAAGACAAAGACGACAACATATTAACTGTTAAATGTTCTGTTTAAATATTCTTGTTGTAGAGTTGTTAAGAATAAAACGTCGAGCATGTGCATCACAGATATGATCACAGGGTCGTGTTGTTCTTCATTTAGCCAATTATATCTGACAGTTTGGAAAAACAGGTAGTGTTGTGTCGCCAGGCAGTGTCTGATATGTTAGCTTAATAGTTATAATGACAGACTAATACTGTATCGTCAAAACCGAGAGCCGCTTACTGAGAGACACCAGAAAATATTAATTAGGGACTTTAGTTTAGTTCAGACAAAACTACGTGTACTGCAGTTATTATTGGGTGCAATTGTTAATGTACTTTATGTTGAATTTTAACAATGGACTCACTTACCCTCTACTATAGTGTGTGCTATTCCTCACCATGACTTGATAAATCCATCCAAATAACTGTGTGTGTGTGTGTGTGTGTGTGTGTGTGTGTGTGTGTGTGTGTGTGTGTGTGTGTGTGTGTGTGTGTGTGTGTGTGGCGGGTACACTAATGGATCATATTTCCCATGGTGTCATTCACCAGCCGTGTTCCATTAATCTTCCATGCACTCATATTGCCTTGATAGTACTAACATCCATTCACACAACACAGTCTCAGCTCACACAGGTGTGTGCCCGACGCGCTGCTGTAATTTCACCTGTTTCTCTTTATCTGAGTGGTGGACTTACTTTGTAGTCTGCAGTTTGGTGAAACACAGCATTACTGCATGTTCAATATGGTGACCCTAAAAAATTAACTAACTGCAACCAGTGAAAACATGCACGCAAACTGTAAAACGTGCACTGATGACTACTTACAACTATCAAACCTGCAAAAGTGTGGCAGTGCGAGTGTTCTCTCGTGTGTACCGAAGGTGGAATTATTGTCTCTCTAGTCTTGTGAGCCTTTACTCTTAAACAAGGGAAAATCTTTATCTGAAAACGTGTTTTTAGTTTGCCGTTCACAAATTCAATATTTTTCCTTCACTGTCAGACTGTCAAATGTGGTTCATGTGTTTGGAAAGCTCGACCTTTTCTTAAACATAACCAAGCAGGTTTAAGTAAGCAAACTGCAAATAAAAGCTAAAAAGGAAAAAGACCTTCTGAAAAAAAGCTTCTCTAGTCGATGCATGTTGTGAAAAAAAAACTATTTTAAGCTACAACTACGAAAGCAGCAGCAGTAGTTCCTACTTCTGTGTAAGTTTATACACAGTGGATTGTAGTAGCTAACATCTCCATCACCTGAAAGTAGCCATATTTGAATCACTACATGCTGCACACAGCTTTTATACCATTTCCAAAGAGCAAAATGCTTCACAACTTTTCATCTGTTGCTGGGAACACTGGGTGGATGTAAAGTGGTTACATGATAATTCACTATGAACCTGCCAAAAGTCAAAGACTGAGTGCTTAGAGAATGTGCCACTCAACTGGGGAAGTCATTGTTGTGAAAGTCTTAACTTTGACCCAATGCAAGGACTTCTGCATTAAATAAAACTCAAAGGCTGACGTCTGTCTGCTAACATAAGTGTTAACATCTGCATGTGTCTACCTCGTCCCTACCACAGCTGCATGAATGCATTGAATGAGCTACTGAAGTGCTGTAGACGACTCTGTTTTGAGAAATGTAAAGCCAGAGATATCAACAACCTTGCCCTACCTTCAACACCAACCAGTGGCAGCAGATGGCCCCGCCCCTCCCTGTACCTGGTTCTGCTAGAGGTTACTTCCTGTTAAAAGGGAGTTTTTCCTTCCCACTGTGGCCAAGTGCTTGCTCGTCGAGGGGTCATCTGATTGTTGGAGTTTTCTCTCTATTGTAGGGTCTTTGTTAATTTATTAGCTTCTAATTAAATAGACCGCCAGATCATTTTGTGACTCTCATGTTAGCGCATCTGGTCCAGTGTGTTTCTGTGTGCATTTGTCTTTTTCTGGGCTTCATTGGTGTGGTTTTCTGCGCTTTTTTTTTTGCAGGCCGTTAATAACGCCTCTAAATGCAGCTGCGAGTTATCAAAAAACACATTCAAATGAAAAGCTGATATCAGCATTCTGCATGTTTGTGTGTGTTTGTGTATTTTGTGTGAGTGAATGAGTTTCCAGCTTCACTGCCGATTTGGAAAAATGTGCCAATCTGAAGATAATTGAAGTAAGATTGTTGTCAAAGCAGTCAGATGTGAGCAGTTTATTTAAAAAAAAAGCATTATCTAAATATGTTTTGAAAAGCTCTGAGTTATTGGGGGGGAATTTTGTTCTTACATCAGTTAGTATTCCTCCAAGCAGACTGATCACTGATATAAATTTGTTGCTGTGTATCTCTGGCAGATATGTACCGTCTGGAGTTAGCTGGAGGCCTCGGGGTCATATTGCTGCTGCTGGGAGTCCTAACCGCACTTTATAAATGTTACAACCTGGAGATCATGCTCTGCTACAGGAGACACTTTGGGAGTGATGAAACTGAAGATGGTAAGCTATTTTGAGTGCTCCCTTTTTCTTCAGCACACTGCAGAAGGGGTCAGACAGGTATCAGAGCGCTGAGCGGTATCAGCATTGATAGGAAGATCAGAGAACTACAAACATGGAGCAAAATGAGAGTTAGACTGTTGCTGCGAATGAAACAAAGTAAAGCAAAGGAATTATGCTATTGAAGTAGGATTTTCCTGTAGGGCTTCTACACATAGCATAACACAGACTGCAGGATGAGTCTCACAGTACAACACTGTACAGCACATAAGATGCACAAGCCTGTAGTGAAGTCAAAGAAGGCAATTAATAGAAACAACAGCAGAGTAAATGAAAATGTGTTTTTCTTTTTTTCATCTATTGATGGAATAAGGAGCTACTTGTGCAGCACTTTTAAAAAGTTACACTGACAAAGCAGTGCAAGATCACTCCCCGAACAAAACAGCGAAACGGCCAAAAGGAAAATTATAAAGATGTGAGTTTGTAGTATTGATTTAAAGTATTGATTTCAAGTTTAGGTCCTAAAGCAGCTGGATTTTCTTAGCCGTGCATTCACAAGTCCAAAACATGAATTACGGTTTTCTCATCAAGTCTACATGTATTGATGATCAGGAGCTGTCTGCTGTCTTTTAGTGCAATAATTACACAGAAACTGCTAACATATATATACTGTATGAAGCACTGTACTCACAGAAAGACGGGGAAGCCTTGTTGATTGATTTGTCAAATCTTCCAAATACTCTTATTTACTGTCCCATGCTCTCTCTGTCTCTCTCCACAGATAATAAGGAGTATGATGCCTATCTGTCCTATACTAAAGTGGACCTCGACTCATTGGGCAGGTCAGGTTTCTTGGATGTTTTTGTGCAGTGCTGTGTAAACAGATTAGGCGCTAAACTTAAAGTGAGGATTGATACAAATGAAACAAATATCATGTTCAGTTCCTTCAAATAGCAGCAAACACAAAATACTTGAAATCAAATCAGCATTGCCCCCTTTGACCTGCAGAAAAGCTCTGATTGTCTCTGATGTAGAGATACATAGAGAAAGCGAAGCTGATGCAATAGCGCCTTTATCCTGCAGGGGGATCTGTGAAAAGACGCATAACAAAGGGATTACCTTTGCTGAGGAGTTCATGGGCTCAGTGCCTTTGTATAAGTCATATTTAAAACATTACATTCATTTCATAAATTATGTTCTCTTTTGGAGTCAAAGATGATGATGAACTGTTGTCATATAAGCTGTCCTCAATTTCTCAGTCATATCTTTCCTCTCTGGTTTCAAAAAGCTAAGAAAAAGCCACAGGTAAGGCTTCAGTAACCCCTAGATGATGCCATGGTGGCTCAAACTAGCTTTCATATATATATATATATATATATATATATATATATATATATACACACACACACTTCCTGTGAGCATAGTTCTTTGCTTCTGTGGTTGAAACGGTTTAGACAAACCTCCCTTTTATATCGAAGCGTGGCAGCCACATGAAAAGGACTTGCTAGCCAAAATTTTGTCTGGGCTACAGACATGTTTATTAAAATACTACTTGTTGTATTGTTAGCAGTAAGCCTGGTCATGTTAAAAATCAAAAAATGAATAAATAAATTCATAAAATGTGCAGATGTTTGATATTGACCAAATTAAATGCAAAAAACTAAACCTGACAGCCCTACAGTGAGGGGATTGAGAGGCTCCGTTACTTTGAGGAAAGCATGCTGTTGGCATAGCTTCAGTTTACTTGTCACCTCAGAAGGAAGGCTCACCGTGAATCAATACAAATTTGTTCAAAGCGTTCACCTTTACACTCTGATTAAACATCTCTGTCCTGATGGAAGTGGCTCCTTCCTGGATGACAATGCAGTGATCTGCATGCTGAGAAGAAAATGATGTAATCACGTGCTACAGTCTTTGTACTCACAAGATCAGCTACGAAGATGCAACACGTGCTCGTCTGCACATCAAATGAGGGAATATCTTCTGGAATGTAGTGCTCCATCTCTCCTGTGGAGTTTAACAGAGCAGGGCAGCCCACATCTTTACGATGGGTTCCCCTCTAATTTTCCACCTGTGTGCAGGCGTTTGTAGTTAAGTGCATTTGCTGATTGATTTGTCTGTTATCTGATTTTGAATTTGGAGCCATGTTTGTTATTCCCTCTCCCAGCAGGACGAGCAGCGACGAGGAAACATTTGCTTTGGAGATCTTGCCGGATGTTTTGGAGAAACATTATGGATACAAGCTGTTTATACCAGACAGAGATTTAATACCCAGCAGTAGTAAGTATAAATCTGTGTATCTACCTACACACATGCACACACACACTCTCTCTCTGTGTAACTCCAATCCCCGCTACCCAGAATTCATCTCTCTGTCAGAATAAATAAGAACATATGTGGATCTTCATCATAACACACTTACAGCCACACACGTATCTATGTCAGCTCTCAGATGTACGCCACATGTACCACATGCCTTACCACAATTTCATTTATTTGTTCACAAACACACACGTACGCACACACGTGCATGCATGCTTGTACCCTCTCACAATTTGTCATCATTTCTTGGCTCCTGTGTCACTCTGTCCAACTGGAGGGGAAAATATGCTGGTCAAACCTGGCACATTCACAAACACACATATACTGTATTTATATATACAGTATATATATATATTAGGGGTGCAACGATACACAAAATTCACGGTTCGGTTCGATACTTTGGTGTCACGGTTTGATATTTTTTCGATACAAAAAAATGTTCATGCCTTTTTAATTTGTCATTTATTAAAATTATAAATATATATTTTAACTCAAAAGTACAGTTTTTAAATTTAACCCTAACCCTTGTGCGTGTTTTTTATTTTGACAGCGAATGCGCACCTGCGGACCACTTATGTGCAGCCCTGGTTATTTAGCTCGTCATATTGCAGCCACAAAAATTCTTTTGTCCATGAAACCATAAAGCTGCACTTTCTTTTTGCCTTATAGTCTCATTTGTCATAACTTCTCCGTTTTGTGGTAAGCTTTTCTTTGGCTGTCACTTCTTCACCCCGACCTGTCTTATTTGGCTCAGCAGAACTAAAATATATATCCTGCTACTTTTACACACGCACTCACATAAGCTCAGCGATTCTCTGCGCGATCAACCTCTCACATGTTTAAGCTTGCTGCGGGAGATTTCACTTGTCATGTTTGCATAGTAAGCTAACGATTAATAAGACAATGTCAGAGGAATTGGTGCACAAATTATCATCACTCACAGATCAGTGCTGTCGCTCTCTATACACAGTTCGCACGATTGCAAAGTGAAAGCAAAAAAACAAGCGCAAATTCAAACGCGACTTCAATATGTCACATATTGACAGTGGCTCACCGATGCCAATGACATAATTACCCAGCTACATTTCTGAAAGAATGCAAAAGCATTGACATATATTTTTCCTACAATAGCCCGACGGGCAGGGAAGAGATAGATTTTGGTAGCCTGACTGAAAAAATCGCTAGCTCCGGGACGTCGGGCTAGCGATATTGCGAGCCCTGTATCTGATTGAGGAATCACTCATCTTTGGAAAAGAGAGTTTATTACAGAGAAATGCCTCTTTCCAAAATAAAAGCTATACTATCCGCTTCTTCTGGGCTATATTCTCAGCAGCATAAGGAGAATCATGTGCTAACAGCTGTCTAAATGACTCGGCTAAAGTTAGTAGCATGCTTGCTTTTTTTTGTCTGCTTCCACTTGTCTTTGCACTAGGATGATGTCGGCGTAAATGTGCAGTCATATTCGTTGTGTTCCCACTAGTGCTTTCAGGTTAATCTCGTTGAAATGACCTTAACGCCACAACACGGCAAATCTCCGTTAACGAGCTACCGCCGATCGCTCCGTGCATGGGGCTAGACGGCCAACACGTTAACGAGCTAACTGCGCTAACACACTAGTTCACACCAATGTAATTGAGCATTGCGTGGCACATCCAACATACTGTTTTACTTTAGTCCATGACTCGCTTACCTTCAGGGTCATACGTCACATGAAAACCAAAATAATTCCAAACGCCAGATCTGAATGAGGGTGGGAGGCCATGTTGCAAGGAGAGCTTAACTTCTGTCTCGCTAGCTTGCCCTGCGCTCTTCCTTCTGACTATGCTGTCTGTGTTGAGCGCTCAGTGGATCTGCGCTCGACAGTGCAGCCTAGGCGGAGTAGTCGAACACAGATTCACTGAGCGCTCAACACAGACAGCATCGTCAGAAGGAAAATTGATAAAATAAATTACAAATGTTGTATTGTTCGATACATATGCGTACCGAACCGAAAGCACTGTATCGAACGGTTCAATATCGATACGAATATCGTTGCACCCCTAATATATATATATATATACATACACACAGTGTTGGTCAAGTTACTTGAAAAAAGTAATCAGTAACTGATTACTGATTACTTCCCCAAAAAAGTAATCCCGTTACTTTACTGATTACTTATTTTCAAAAGTAATTAATTACTTAGTTACTTAGTTACTTTTTAAAAACACGATTTACAACCTGAATAGGTGATAAAGGATAGATCTTTCAGCCCAATTCTACTTTTTCTGCATAATCCATCATACAAAATGTAATCAAATGGAAAAGTCTCTTTTTTTAACTTGTTTTGTCAGTTTTAATCTTTTAACTTTATGCATCAAGCAAAAATTTAATTATATGCAACATTCTCTGACTTGAATGAATTAGTTTAACATTTAAAGCTATTTTCTGCACATTCCAGCACATAAAATAAAATATTTTTTGTGTTTACACTCACTCTTTCAAATAGATGCAAGTAAAACACAGCAGAAAATAAATAAAGTCAAAGACTAGCGGTCCTTTTGCTCTGTTTTCACCTGTAAAGCAGGACTGGCGTAGGCGGAGGTTTACCCTGGTGCAGGTGTGCTGCGGTCAGTTGAAGAATCCGCGAGTTTCTCTGTGAGTTTCCCATTACGTCGTTGCGCACTCGGTGCTTGTTTGGAAGTTTAGGGGTTTTTTTCGCTGTAAAAAGAAGTTTTCTTCCCACGCACAATGGACACTAATGTTTTTGTCACTTTTTATGGAATCAAACTCAAAGTAAGGTCAGTACTTCCACGCTTTAAACGCTGCACGCTCATACTCTCTCCCACAATCGATATGTGATCCATTGTTGATCTGCACACAGCTGTTGTCACTAACGGCGCACTCGCTTACGTCACTGTCGTGAGACATTCTCGCAAAAAAATCACGGTTTTAGTAACGCAGTAACGCAGCGTTCCTACGGGAAAGTAACGGTAAATCAATTACCGTTTTTGCAATAGTAATCCCTTACTTTACTCGTTACTTGAAAAAAGTAATCAGATTACAAGTAACGCGTTACTGCCCATCTCTGTGTATGTATATGTATATATATATATATATATATATATATATATATATACATAGAGAGAGAGAGAGAGAGATAGAGAGATATGTATAGGAATTTCTTTTACTTATGTATTAATCACATTATTTTATTGTATAATGCCTTGGTGCCACTGGATTTTAACATGTCTGACACCCATACAGTAAGACAAATGGTGGGGGTGTAGTAAGGAAGTTGGGGGAAGCAGACCAGAGTCTTTTGTCTCCTCGAGGACTCTGGGAAGTAGCAAGGGAGTGTGAACCTTAAGGTGTGAAACAGCTGTGTACTGCCTTTTGTTCCTGAAGAAGGTATTTAACTGAGAGCCATGCTAGACTCAGAGAACTCTGCTGACCGTCTGTCCCGCGGACATGCAGGGCTCCATCAGGCTTGATTGTATGCTGTCTTTGTGTGTTTGGATTAAAGAATGTTAGCTACCGCTCACCGCTCATTTGCAGGCTTTATTTAAGTGGAAAATTTCCACAACAATATATATATCTCTCTATATTTATAGAGATAGATATATAGAGATATAGATATAGACACCTCAAACAATGTGGTAACATGGCACTAAATACAACTGACGTCTTTTGTAGCAAAGATGTGACTGTCATCAAACCAGGATGTGTGCTCACACAGGTATGTTAATAATATCTGGTGCAAAGCCCATAAAAACATTTGTGTCGTTTTGGGTAGCATGTGTGAAACCAATCTTGCACTTCCAACACTCTGACCTCTCTTATGAACTTGAGGGATATCCCATTGTTAATCTAGATGTCAGCCCGCCTTTGCAGATATAACAGCTTCACTCCTCTGGGAAGTCTTTCCACAAGGTTTAGGAGTGTGTTTTATGGGATTATCTGATTGTTCTCCCAGAATTGTATTTGGAGGTCAGACTGGTGTTGGACGAGAAGGCCTGGCTCGCAGTCTCATCCCAAAGGTGTTTTTTCTGGTTGACCACAGAGGTTGGGACTCTGTGCAGGCTAGTCAAGGCTTCCACACCAAACTCACTCATCCATGTCTTTATGGACCTTCCTTTGTGCAGAGTTGTGCAGTCTTGTTGGAACAGGAAGGGGGCATCACCAAACCGTTTCATCAAAGTTGAGAGCATGAAGTTGTCCAATATGTTTATATTAGCTTGTAGTTAGGGCTGCATCAGCTGACCCCGAATCGACCTTAGATACGTTGGAATAGGCCTAAGCTGCTGGGGCTTCCCCTCTGTGTTTATACACCCCTCTGCACTTAATCACTAGTTCACTAGCTGGGACAACATCCTTATTTTAGGTTTGACAGCATTTTTATTAGATAATGGTAGATGGTTGAGCATGAAATGAGGCTGCGGTTTGGAGAGTGAATACATTCAAAGGAAGAGGGCGAGTGGGGCACGAAAACAAAAATGAACAATGTGTAGTGCTGGGTGGGTCATATGAACCAGAAGTGTTCAATATGTGTCCTTAGACATTTTCAGCCCAGAAAGTTCACTCAGTCATTCAAGGAAACTGAGCACTAAGTCAGAAGGAGAGCAGAGTAAGTATTGACTTCACCAAGTGGCCAAAAACATGGTTACAAATATTACGATCATAGTCTGTGTTCGTATGTCTCTTCTATATCTCCGCCTAGACTCCTAAAGTAATCTGGATAATTAAAAATATATTATCAACATTTTTTTTATGCATAGAAGTTACATATAACAATATAACACTCAAATTCATACAAATGATATCTCAAAAAAACATCAACATTAAACGTATGTCTGTGAAGGTTCTCAGTCATCCAGGTCATCGTAGTCAAAGGAGCTTGTAAAGAAAAGCGTCTGGACTTCTTTAAGTTGCTTGAAGACGTTTCACCTCTCATCCGAGAAGCTTCTTCAGTTCTAAGGTCAAATGGTGGAGAGTCCCAGATATGAATTCGCATGATAAGGTGGGGCCAGGTTTCACAATGAACTCACCCAAAACTCTGGCTGATTGGGACCCACACCCAGTTTCACATCTTGGCTCAGGCGATTAGAGGATCATCAGGGGGTCCTTTTGTCCCTCTTTGGGGGGAAACTCCCACTAGGTTTATATCTGGGACTCTCCACCATTTGACCTTAGAACTGAAGAAGCTTCTCGGACGAGAGGTGAAACGTCTTCAAGCAACTTAAAGAAGTCCAGACGCTTTTCTTTACAAGCTCCTTTGATCAACATTAAACATGTACACTGTGGTTTGTTAATGCTAAATAATTTTTATTGCTGTGGTACTTTGAGGAATGTGTCATTCTAATTATTTTAATAATACGTTTTTAAATAAGTATTATTAAGCAGTGTCCCTAACACTGCCTCAAACTGACTGCTTTGTCTTATATAATGAATATGTAGCTTTCAAAGAAAAACCTAAAAGAGCACATCCTGCAAAGGCCTCTCTAGACCAGTATGGAAGCAAACTGGACAGTCCAATTAAAGGTAGTATAAAAATAAATAAATCTAAATAAATAGGATATTAATTCTAATTAGTAATGTCTGAGGTCTCTGAGGTCTAATGCGTGAAATAAAGTAATACAGCTATCATTTCCTGTGTATTAGCATTTTGGTACCAAAATCCCACGTCTCCTTGTCCTCAAAACATCAAACCAAAAAATATACACCAACTGAAATAACCGTATAATGTGGCACAAAAGACACATGCTAATATGTGCTCTTTGAATTATTTAACATTTTCTCCTAAAATACATAAATATGTTTACTTAAGTATGGTTCATAATGAAAAGCCACACTTTACGTGACCTTAGCTAAAATTATGCCCTTCCCACGCACCCGGCAGACGAAAAAGTCATATTTCCTGTGTTTGCCCTGAAAACATCCGAAAAACAAATATCCCCTGTGCATATAACATGTAACTTTTTCCAGGTTTAAATATGCCTACACTGAACAAGAGTCTTTTCTTTGGTAACCAAAGCTGCTGAAAGAGCAGCATAGCAATGCGACCCAAAACACACCATTCAATTATTCACTCCACTTAACCCTCTGAAATGAACAGGAGAGCGAGAAATAAATAACAAGGAACAGAAAGCAGTGGGTACAGGGTCACTGGTTATTTTATTAATTGATTTACATAATCCTCACAAATGGGGAGCAGGAAGCAGTCAAGGGCAAGAGAGAGGCAAGGAGGTGTTAATGTGAGAGGGAAAATGTAAAAAAAGAGAGGCAGAAAGGCAAACCAAGAGAAACAGAAAAGAAAGAGAATGAATTTGGGGATGTACTGTACTATTTGTGCCCCTCAAATTGAGCGTGAAATTGCAATGTGTTGTTGGAGAGTCTGTCATTAATTTAGTTAGCAGAGATGGAGAAAGAGAGAGGTATTTAGACGGGGTGGGGGAGCCGTGGTTCAATGAACACAAAGTTTTCATACTTTTCTGTAACTACAAATTTTAGAAATAATGAGCAATGTGTTCCAAGAAAACACACACACACACACACACACACACACACACACACACACACACACACACACACACAACACAGTTGCAAAAAAGTAATTGGGTTGTTTGTTAAGACAGGTTTTCACTGGGTTTGGCGTGGAGGCTACTCTAATGCTGAAGCATAGTAGCTTCACCTCATATTAACTCACCGTCCACATCCCATCACCTGCCACTTCTCCTCGTCAACTTCACATATTCCTCACTTAGTTATAAGTAACAACCGGCGATGGTGGCTCAGCACAACTCTGATCCCCATTTAAGAGCTGACTGCATCGTGCTGTGTCAGAGCCAAAGTTCTTGCACAAGCATTTCTGTCACTCCGTTATATCCGCGTCACTCACCTCAGGCATGTATGGACGAATGAACTTGACACATGCAGGAAGCGGGGGCAAGTGTTGCTGTGTGAGATGTTTCCCTTACATACTGTGATGGTAATTCACTTCTTGCCTCCTGCTTTGTCTTCGTCAAAGCTGCTGGAGCTTTCCGTGTAATCCAACAAGAATTAAAACCTCTCAGTAATTCTGGAGAAAGAAATGCACGACTGTTACAGGATTAGTTCAGCACTGACAATATTAAGAGCAAAAGCTTATTAACCTGCTTTTTTGTCACTTCTGTTTTGGCTCACAACAAAATCTGGAGACACAGGAAACTTGGTATTACACCATCATGTGGATATTCATGGAAACTTTTTAGTAATAACAGAATGAAAGGAAAAGTTTTCTTTTTCAATTTCAATTCAATTTTATTTGTACAGCGCCAAATCACAGCAACAGTCGCCTCAAGGCCCTTTATATTGTAAGGTAGACCCTACAATAATGCATACAGAGAAAAACCCAACAATCATATGACCCCTGTGAGCAAGCACTTTGGCGACAGTGGGAAAGGAAAAACTCCCTTTTAACAGGAAGAAACCTCGGGCAGAACCAGGCACGGAGGGGTGGGCCATCTGCCGAGTTGTCCCTTCTCTATTCATTATTCTTACTCTCCATGTGTCTCTCCCAGCCTACATTGAGGACTTGGCTCGTAGCGTGGAGCAGAGCAGACGTCTGATCATCGTTTTAACGCCAGAGTTTGTCGCCAAAAAGGCTGGAGCATCTTCCAGATAGAGACACGCCTCCACTCCATGCTTGTTACTGGGGAGATCAAGGTATGAATTCAGAGGTCAACGGTAAAAATCTAGAGGACAGACATTTTTCCAACTTGATTGCATTATTATTCTTAACAGTTTGAAAAAAGAAGGCAAGAAGACTTCTTTAGGTTTGTGAAGACCTTTGACCTCACAAGAGGTTTCTTTAGTTAAGGTGGAGAGTCCCAGGTATTTAAACGCTAGCTGTGGTTGTTGGCCCACTATTGATCATGTGAGTCATCAGATGAATTAAAGCCAAAAATAAGGATAAAACCACTGTGGGACTGTCCCACCCATCATGTGACCTATTGAGGTCGTCTGAGTATGATTTGGGTGTTTAAGCATCTGGATCTCAAAACTTCATTGCAGGTGGCTGATAACTGAGAGACGACCTCTACTAGGGGTTAAATACTTTGAGCTGCCCACCTTTTGTTTTTAGAACTAAAGAAGCTGCTTGAATAAGAGGTGAAATATCTTTACAAATTTAAAGAAGTTCATTCACCTTCTGTGTTCAAGCTCTTACTACTACCATAACCTGGATTACTGAGAGCCTACCCGGACATTGCATTATTACATATGGAGAGTTTTGTTGGCGAAGGTCTTCTGCTTAGAAATCTCTCCGTGTTCTAGGTGATCATGATAGAGTGTGCAGACCTGAAGAATGTCATCAACTACCAAGAGGTGAGGCACTTAAACATACCATCAAGGTATACAGAAAGAGCGGATGAATGAAAGGATGGAGAGTTTATGGGGTGACCTGAAGAGTTATCACGGCCAGAATGGCAAAATCTTTTTTTTGTAATTTGTCTCCTTCTCTTCAGGTTTTATCCATCATCAAGTGGAGGGGTCCTAAGAGCAATGAGCTGTCATCTAAGTTTTGGAAACAGGTGGTCTACGATATGCCCGCTAAACGCAGAGAGACACTGTCCAGACGTCAGGTACACTGCGTCTTTTTTCATGTATTCTCGATATACTTTATCTTTCTACAGTGGTATAGCCTCCACTCTGGGACTGATTTATGACCTCTGAAAAGAAATTTCATAAAAAAAGCAAGTCTACAATACATGTGCGACTATAAGTGATAAAAACATTTTGGATAGCATGTGAATTTGTTCATGTGTCATTATAGAAACCCTTAAACTCAGACATCTTGATCTATACTATATTAATAATGTCCATTTCATGCATGGGAGCCAAAAAATTCTACTGAGATGTACTCTTTCCTGGGCGCATTGGCAGATGGCCTTTAAAATGTCTGCAAAACACAGGTAATGTATTAAATTGGAATCACAGCAAAGCAAAATGTGTAGATGTTTAATGCCTCAGTTGTGTATATAAAGTTTCGCTGCTTTCTTTCCTGAAGAATGATGCTACAAGAGACACAACCAACAGCGTGGTGATATCATTCTAATGTCTTCTACTCTAATAATTGATGTCATGGAATCTAGATGGTGTTTAAGTGTGTAAAGGTGTCAAATTATTTATGCACCAGGGCTTAGATTATGCTACTCACCCATAGGTGGAAACTCTGAATAAAGTTGTTGAATGATTGTATGTCTCTCTGCGTTGACCTTGCAAAAGACTGTTAGCAAAGAAAGACTCCAGCACCCCATAACCTCCAACAGAGGGAGGGAGGATGGATGGATGGAATCGATGGATCGAATTTTGACTCACTGTTGGAGGAATCTCTGTGTTAACAGGTAATGGATTCTGGTGAACAGGGCCTCTTTGGTGACCTACAGACCACAGTCTCCACTATTGCCATGACAACCACTTCTGCCTCCCTGGTGCCCCTAATGAGAGTCGGCATGGACACCATCAGGTCAGCACATGTCTTTTAGTTCGAACTTTTATTAATTAGTAGATGGTTTTTCTCAAATCAGTGACCTTGGCACTGCACTATGACAACATTAATCTTAAAAACACAGACTTAGTTGATCGTTGTTACACCTGTAAATTAATTTTTCCTGAACTTTGGGCTACCTTGTGAGAGCAGATGATCAGGAACAATGCATTGTTACCTGTTTGATAGGACAGGAAAGAAGGAATGTTGAGCTCCAGCATCTGGGGAGGCCATGCAATGACTGATAGTGCTTCATTGTGCATTTTCTATCCAGGTACACTTTTACTGGACTTTTACAGTGTGTTTGGGATCAGTGTCATACTGAAAAAGCCAGTGCCAGTCAAATGCTTTCAAGATGGTTTTTACATGGTGGATCAAAATCTGACTGTACTTTTCTGCATTTGTAATTCCATCAATTTTAAAAAAGCTCTCCAACATCACTGGCTGATATGCAGCCTCAAACCATGACAGAGCCTCCACCAGGTTTACCGGTGACTGTAGCCACTCACTTTTGTACATACTGATTACAATTCGAACCATTTCACATTTGAATTCAAGTCCTCTTGCCAATGATTTGTAGTCCAATTTTGGGTAATTTGCCATACCTCAATTTTTCTCCCTGTCTCCATCCCTTACCCCAATGACTTTCTTAGAGCCATTCTTCCACTAAGACCATTTCTGATGAGGCTTTGGCTTTGGTCACCAGGACATTAAAACTGCATGTATATAACCACCGGTCAACTCTAATAAAAACTGAATAAAAAGTTTTCTGACTTTGTCCCATGATAAAGTTTTACAAGTTTTTCTACCACCAGTTCAGTTCAGAACTCTTTGACTGCCATGGATCTCTCTTTAATGTTTGTGACTATGTTCTAACTGTTTCTGTACTTCTTATGTTTCCACTGCTGTGTTTTCAAATGTACAGTTTGGACTAGAAAGTTTGTTTCAGTTGTTTAAAACTTGCCTTTGAATTCATATCAGACGGAATTCGGGGATTTCACGTTTTCCTGTGTTTAGCTCTATTTTGAAAAATAAGTGAAACTCGAGCTTGAATTATTTTAACACATTACACTTAAGTTCATTTACCCCTCAGAGGTCCTTAGGACATTTATTGTCTTTTGCATTTTTAAATTTATTTCATTAATTTACAATTATCTTGTTTTCATAGTTCACCCAGAAGCTAACAGAAGTCTACAAACAGCATTTTCATGATGAATGCTTCATATTTAGTTGCCTCTTGCAATAATGCTGAAGCTAATGAAAGTTACTAGAAAGTCATGTCTTTTACACACAGGTCGCCTTGGCAACAGAGATCCCTGACTACAACCAGATGACCTTGCCATTAGGAGGGGTCACAGTGCTACAGCAGCTCAAATGCGGCATTTCTGCCGCAGCTATGAGTTTCAACTTCCCCACAGCCCTCACCCCCACTTCCACCTCCCTCCACAGTGCAGTTCTCCACTCTGGGCCCCGGGGGGCGCCATGTCTATTGCAATATCCCAATGACACTGCTGAATGGACAGGTGGGAGAAAAGACTAAGCCACTTATACGTATGATGTTCTTAGTTAGTCCCCAGCACCCAACATCAGCACAGTGTATCCTTTTCTAAAGTTTGCTTGCTGTTATCTGTTTGCATGTACTCAGAGCTTAAACACAATAAAAATAAATCCTCTCTTCTCCCCAGGGGTTCAGAGCAGTTCACTGGGAACAAGAGGTCTGTTTGAATAAAAGAGAATATAGAAAGAAAACAATATCTTCATATCATCTAGCCTGAAAACATGCTTATTCTAACAGACTGGGAAACGAAATGCAGTACAGTTCTTATGTTTAAGTCAAGGCACAGTATTGGCATGCAATATTTTGTCATACCATAAAATGAAGCACCATTATATGGCAAGGTTAGTGCTAATCATGGTGGTGCTGTGTGTTTCCCAGGTGCAACAGAGCAATACCCTTGGAAGAAGCCAGAACTCCACCTGAACAGCACCTTTGTACCCCTCACCAGCAGAGAACTAAGCTCTGACATCTGGTAGTTGGACTTCTCAGCTGATACTGGAATACAGACTGCTTTTCACTGGATTCGTGTAGACTGGCGGGTCGTCTGGTTTTCATCAGGTTTTTGGACTGTGTGCAGACTTGGCGTTGGACTGCCCATCGACTGCTTTTGGGCTACTCCTTCCCAGCTGTGAATAAAAGACTACCGAAAGACCGCAGAAGGCTTGGTGTCACACTTATTAGGAGAGTGGTTGTAAACTGTTTACAGAAAGACTGGGATTATACAAAGGATTGCACTCTGATTTTGGACCTATTACCTGGTAACAGGCTGATGCCAGCTGGAATGTACACTGCTGGCATGACCATGTGTCCTTGACACGGCAAAAAGTTCCTGACTGGTCATGCTGAGTTTGTGGAAAGGAATTAGGAAACTTAAGAACTAGAGAAGTTAACGAAGGCATCCTGAGTACTTCAATCGTGGGTATCCACCGTCTATAGTACTCTATTTGTTCAACAGGCAGGCAGGTTGGATCTTGGAGCACTAAAACAGCACCTTTTAAGTCTGCTCACAAACCAGCTGCTGTGAAAACCAGTTGACTTGTCAGCTCAGACAAACAAGACGTAGCGTAATCTAAGAATGCCAATTGATCTACTTATGCGAGTTCTCATCTACCTGTTGACTAGGTGGCTTGTCGGGCAGACAAAGCAGACATCAAGCAATGATTTTGGAATACCAGACCACCTTAAATCAACTAGTCAACCTCTTGAAATATTGCTCTACAGCAAGCTATATAGCTACCTGGTTTGGCTCTCAGGAGCTGAACTAGACTTGAGAAATGTTTTTCAGCAAGAAAAACAAGAGGGGTGACACATAAAGCGAAGGCTGAAGCTGCTTAATGACTGAGAAAGCACAGTTAGGTAGAAACTAGCTAGTTGCATAGACTAGTTGGCTGAAAGAATAGCTAGTACTTGAGGTAAGTGTGTTTAAGGGCACAGCAAGACTGGAAACCAGCCAGTCCATCACCAACAGATGAACTGTCAGATTTAACACCAAGCTAAAAGCATAAAGGACTTGGCTTTTTTCTATTTGCATGACCACCCATTTAGATTAAAAAAAAGAATAATAATCAAACAAACATAGATAAAAGAGTAAATGACACAATCATTTGTCGAAGCCTCTTTTAATATGGAGGGTATAAACATCCTATGTTGATACAGTATATTTGTTTTCTGTCTGGCCATGATTCAATGATAAAAACTGATAAAGGAAAAAAAGGAGGTGTCCCTCCAAAAACATTTGGGTTATTTATTTTGTCACGTTTTATTTAAGGGTTTTATCCTTTTAGAAGGTTGTTGAGAATTTTTACCAGGCTTTGTTTTTACTGTCTGTTTGTTACAATAATCTTTGTACAGCTTCCATAACCTCTGTATAGACCTATACATGACAGTGATTTGTTCCCTACAGTTTTTGTTAACACTCACATTAAGTGTTCTCTGATGGCTCCACAGCCACTTTTTTGTTGCCTTTGTTGTGTTTCTCTTTTCATCGATGGATGGATGTCTTACGGCAGTACGACCCTGCTAACGGACTGATATTTTGAACCTTACCACTACCAGTCAGCCAAAAGGGGGCTTCACTGTATAAAAAGCTGTACTCCGAGCTGAATCAGACCACATTCTTCTTTGTGAGCTTTAAAAAAGAAAAACAAGATTATTAAGATAATATTTAAGCAAAGTGGGTAATGTTTTGAATTTACACAGAGCTACTGTCATTGTCTTATTAGAACCAATGAATTCTGGATATTTGAGATTGTTTGATACAATAATTAATTATTTCAGTTGTTATATTCAATGGCAATATACAGTATAGTGGTTGTCCTTTAATTTCTGACTATTTCTTTGACTATTCTTTGGATATATTGGTTGAATAATTTAACTGCGAGCAAATAAAACTTATATGAGTTGTTTTATAGATTTTGGATTCACTGTTGTCTGACATGGTCAACTTTTTCCTCTCTTTTTTTTTCCCGGACAACTATTTTTTTCTCATTTTGTTTTTATTGCTTAACCAGATGTGATTTCGCAAGCGGTCTGGCATTTCCTCCAACTGTCAGCTTACTTTGTTTCACCCCTGTCACGAATCCTTTTCTTCGAATTGCACTTCTCATGGCTTTATCCTCTTCTCCAATGGTCACTTAAATTTCCTTGTAAGCTGTTAGCTTACTCAGTGACACATAGTTCTTTGCCCAGTGTCGAAAGGCATGAACTAAAACATTTGCCTTATCCAAATTTTCAAGATGCGCTGCATGGAGTTGAGCACAAGGAGTGAAGCTGTCCAACAGGCCTGGAGCAAGCAGGTTTTTAGAGCGCCTGAGACGCACTGAGATGGCGTTTTCGCCATGCTCCAGATAGCATTTCTTCAAATTCCTTAATTCTCACTTGCTTTTGCAACTTTGTACTTTTGTGTTACTCGCAGCAACAACTCCACCTCATTGTTAGTCCATTTAAAAAACTCGGTGCTTTTCCTCGACCTTTTGCCGCAACGGTTCAAAGAGCCAGAAAGTAAATAAACGACAGACAGAAATGAGGCAGGTCGAATCTTCTTGCGTTTCACACATGCGCAGTACTGGGACATAGGCGTTTTCATCCATTTCAATGTGGACACACAACTCTGTGAAAACGACTGAAAACACTAGTGTGGATGTGGAGTGTTTTCAGACGGAAACGCAGTTTTCAAATCTATCCGGGCTAGTGTGGACGTAGCCTCAGGCTGCAATTGCGGCACTTCACCGGGATCAACACTATCAACAGTAGCTCCCCACCTTTTCAAGGGACCAAGTGAGTATTGCAAAGGACCCACGGCTACACCACATATTTGGCGCACCAAAACGTACAGTGAGGGTGTGCTGGGAACATCTAGCAGAGGCCCCGGTCCGCAAGATCTTCAACTCACACCTCCAGCAGAGCTTCAACAGCATTCCCA